CAAAACCTGTGTGATATGTTTTGGGGCCAGTCCGCATTCATTCACATACCAGAAATGAGCAAAATCCATTGAACCTGAACTGACATTCCATTTTTGCCAAAGTGGACGTGGCTCGAAGAGTTGACTGGCGTGCTCCAAAATAGGACGTTCAAACCTCTCCCATAAGAGTAACAACTATATGCAATTTGAAACATGTGGGTCAAACGGTTCTTGAGTTATCGTTGACCGTAGCCAAATGTTGACGGACGGACGGACGACACCCCATGGCAATACCTCATCTTGACAATGTTGTAGCGGCTAGATATCTAGATATTAATATCGCGCCACCGACCTCACACCCCCGAACACCAGCCCCAGTCAAGACCTGCCGATCTTACACCACCCCCTTCCAGACGCATAACAATACAAAGCTACCCAACCACCCCTGCCTCACCAAGACCTCATTCGCTATTTTCCAGTATGCCGCTAACCATTCTCGAACCACAGCAGCGAATGGGTTCCTTCGACCCGATAACACCTACCCTTCAGTCCCACCGCGACGGTTTCCCAGGCCCTACCCTTGTTGCCAGGACCCCATCACCCACCTCGGCAATAGTACGATCCCCCCCTAATGTCGATATTACGCAGATACTCTGCGACACGCCTTCCGACCCCCCATCCCCAAAGGCTTCCCCACTAACTTCCATACTTCACCGGCATATCTCTCTACGGTCCCGCCCAGTGCGCCGCTCTATGCCCACACCAGTCCCCTGTCCAACACCCCCACCTCGCGTCGTGTAGATTCATCTCGGATGTTACATTTCCGTGATTTCATCGAGCGAGTACCTCATCAATAGCCTATTATTTGAATCATACCGGCATAAGGATAGTTTTACAGCATGGACGACGTGCAGTGTGTGCACCGCTAGCACTAGTCTTGCTAATTTTTAGAAATAATTGTATTACCTTCTTCATACAGCGCACTATCAGTAAGAGGCGCTACACTCCGATATATACATTCGTAGTGTCAGCCGCTTCCAACGGCCCATTACTGACGCTGTAAATGACCGCGCTCCCTAACCGTTTCACGCCGCTATGCCGGCTGGCCCGCTTATGACATGGTGTCATGTATTATGCTTGTTCATTGATGTTGTCAGGACCATGTTGTCCACAATGGTCACGACGGGCGGGATGGGCTGCCGCCGTCCGCGCCGCAATCTCCACCGCCAGCGGGTGTCGGCGTCGCCTGCACCTGCGCCCTCTGTCTCGGCGCCATCTGCAACTGCGCCGATTGCCGCGGCGCTGCCCGCGCTTGCGTCGTCTGCTCAGCGGCCGCTGTCGCCTACACCCGTGCTGCGGCCACCTGCGAGTGCGCCACCTGCATCGTCGGTGCGGCTGTCGCCTACACCCGTGCTGCGGCCACCTGCGAGTGCGCCACCTGCATCGTCGGTGCGGCCTACGCCAACGCTACCTTCAACAACCGCGACTGCGTCGTCCCCTTCTGCGACTGCGCCGCCTGCG